GCACTGGCCCAGAGCTCGGGTTATATGACATGGCCACATGTCACCCATATGTCCTCGGTGTCCGTGGGCAGGTCAGTCTACTGCCCACCCAAGTACCCCGTTTGTAAAAGCATAGGTGGTGCTATCCCTTACAGAGGTGTTTGGAGGAAAACATTACAGTTTAGGCTGCGTATATTGCAATAGGGCTGAGCCATACATGAACAGAGAGAAAGGTATATCATAGAATCATTCAGGTTGGAAGAGACCCTTGGGATCATCGAGTCCAACCATCTACCCTACTCTACAAAATCCTCCCCTACACCATGTCCCTCAGTACCGCATCTAAACGTCCCTTAAACACAGCCAGGGATGGTGACTCAACCACCTCCCTGGGCAGCCTGTTCCAATGCCCAACCACTCTCTCTGTGAAAAATTCCTTCCTAATGTTCAGTCTAAACCTACCCTGTTGGAGCTTGAAGCCATTCCCTCTCATTCTGTCATTAATTACCTGTGAGAAGAGACCAGCACCAACCTCTCTACAGTGTCCTTTCAAGTAGTTGTAGAGAGTGATGAGGTCTCCCCTCAGCCTCCTCTTCCTCATGCTAAACAGTCCCAGCTCCTTCAGCCGCTCTTCATATGATTTGCCTTCCAGGCCCTTCACTAGTTTCATTGCCCTCCTCTGCACCCGCTCCAGCACCTCGATATCTCTCTTGGATTGAGGTGCCCAGAACTGGACACAATACTCAAGGTGTGGCCTCACCAGTGCCGAGTACAGGGGCACAATCACCTCCCTGTTATGCTCATGCTCCAATTTCAATAAATTGTGTAGTAAGATAAACAGTCACTTAGAACACAGGACAGAGTAGAAGCAGCGCTTTAAAAGGGTTATACTCTCTTAAAGGAGGGATGCCTGTTTTAGTTGCATTCAGCGATGTGGTGTTTAAAGTGTTTGCTGAAATCTGTACTATTCAATAAAGCAACTGTGGTTGTGTTTCAAGATGTATTTTCGCATTTTTTAATAAATTGAAGCATGCATCTGAATGTGGTGAGTGAACAGATGGGAAAAGCACCGTGTATTTGTATAGGGCTTGGTGTAATGGGTCTCTCTTTAGGAATTTGACCACTGTCACAGTACAAACCCATTGTTAAAAAGTTAACACAGTTAAAAGGCATCCTATGGGAGAACGAAGCATAGTGAAACTTCTCAGGTTGTGTAGGCTTGCTCTGTGTGTGTGTGTATGTCAGAGCTAACATCTGAGTTAAGTAGCTGAATATCAGTTGCCTACGCTTGGTACCCCCCGTGTGTTTCTAAAAAGACCTAAATAAAATAATAATTGGAAGGGAAAGAGCGTGGTGGTGGATTCTGACTTTTGGGGAGTGGGAGTGCATGGCTCTTGAGGGATAAGACAGCATGGTTATGGAAGCCTGCAGAAGGATGAATGGGGGAAGGAATGACAAGGAAAGAGGAGACAAAAAGAAAGAATGGGGGTAATGAATGGATACAAACTGAGGAAGAGAAAGATGAAGGTAGGTAGAGAGGGTATGGACACATTAATGCCAGCCCATGCTTCAGGCCAAGCTGCTGGCCTTGCTAGCACTTTTTTTGCTGTACATCCTCCATTCTTCATCCTCCTCTTCCTCTCTTGCTGCTATGCCATTTGTGTTGAAAGATGCCCTCACTTGTCTTTATTTTTCTGTCAGACTGTTGCCTGTTTGCGACAGAGCTGCTGCCCTTCACCATCTTCTGTTGTGATCAAGGATGCCTGTAGACTGTGTTTTCATTACTATGATCCATTTCAGAATGAGAATTATTTGGGTATTTTACAACATATAGTATTCAGTCATGAAAAGTTTAGTTGCATCCTACAATAAGAAGAAGAGCAAATGAATTGTAAAGGGAAAAGGAGAAATTCGGGAGGAAATGAAATGACATCCATAACATGAATGTTTTTAGATAGTCTGAGGGAAAGTGTGTTGTGTTAGTAGGAATGAGGAAATGGAAACTTAAATCTCAGACTTGTTTTTATGGAACTGTTAGGTGATGCCTGATAGCCAGCACAGCACAGACCAAGCAATTTCGGTGAGTGTTCTGATCACTGTGATAAAGTCTGCAATGAAGAGCATTATTATTTTTTTTTTTTTAAGGGTATGTAACAGCTTTTGAGTTAAGCTGCAGACAGTGGAAAACTTCCCCATAGTTAAACTATACACCATACAGATAGTTTGTTGCTCAGTTAAAACTTCCTTAGCTGCAGCTTTATCTTGTTATGCTTCTTGTTCTTACCAGATTTGCTGGATGATAATTTGTAGTGGTGTATGCAGGTTCTTTCCGCTCTCACTTGCACAGATAAAGCATCTTAATGACAGTTCTGATTATAAAGTCACTGCTACTGTCAATCGTTTCATTTTTCTCCCAGTTTATTGATGAAGCAATTGCAGAGTGCTGGTCCGATAGTAGATTTGGGAGTGGGAAAGATTTTGCTGAGGGTTTACAAAATTATTTTGCCTGTTTTAGCAGGGAAGGTGTTCAAATGAGAGGGGTTTTTCTCCCCAGTCCCTGTGGAAACCTGCCCAGCTAATGAGCCTCTGGAAGATCATTGCTGTAGCTGGTAAATGATCTGCTGCCGATGCCACCGGAGCAGAGGGGAGGCAGGTAATGAGGCAGGGGAGTCTCTGGCCTGGCTATGGGGCTGGCAAGTGAGGGGAGAGGAGCTGGGAAAAGAGTCTCTGAAGGATAGATGGCAGGGGCTGAAAAGATGAGGCCAGGCACGTAGAGGCAAAGGGAAGAGAGAGGTTTTCCAGACAGGGGCATGCGCTGGCGTTAGTGGTGGTATCGGCAGATTTCTGCAGTAACAGCTGTACAAACCAGAGCACGGTCCCTTTCGGGTTCTGTAGCAGCAGCAGACTCCTGCCTGAGTTTCTCCTGCTGTGAAAACATCTCTGTAAAACGTGGCTGTAACCTCGTGTGGTGGTGTTCTGCCTGGAGAATAGCAACCTGCCAGTTTTTGTGCTAGCTCAGGTGCTTGCTTTATCTAAAGGTTTTTTAGCCCTGCGGAGGGAAAACTGACCGTACCCAGTGGAATTTATGCTTTTACTGTCATTCCTTGTTAGAAGAGGAAAAGAAATTACATTATTCTTTCTTTTTTTATTTTTTTAAGCTACAGAGTCAAGAATATAGAAGTCATGATCTTCCAGGATTAATAAACTCGCTGTAAATGTGACATATTGTGTGCAGTGCAGGCACAGATACTCTTTTCCTCTAGAGGATACCTGTCTTGTCTTCTGCGGGAGATGCTTTGGAGAGACACAAAAGGCAGCGTGCTGCGGTGTGACCCGTGTTTCATTTGATGTACAAATTGAAAGGTTTGGAGTTGACGAGTCTAGGGGATGGCAGGAAGGAAAAAGGCATGGTCTTGAGATTTCCAAAGCTGGATTTCATCCCTGCCATAAGTTCCCTTTGTAAGCAATGATAATTTTCGGCATTGTGTCCCCGTTGTCATCTGAGATGCTTTTTTGAGCTGGAGGGCTGTAATCTGGTAGTTGGCTGCTTGAACCTTGTGTGAAGTCAGTCGTGCCAGACAAACATGGAAGTATCAAATTTAGGAATGTGCAGACAGCCTTAATTTTGCCACTTACTAATTTTTTGATTTTACATTGTTAACTGTCCTTGAATGCAAGGTGGTGATGTGTGCGTGCTGTGTGATTATGTGTCTGGGTACTTAAGGACACCTACTATCTGAGCATTTCTCAGATATTTAAAGTAGAAATAGCAACAGAAATCTATTGAAGCAATAGCTTGATTACTTGTAAGCATTCTGTATGTAACTTTCTATATTGTGTTTGTAAGAAAAAATAACTCAAAGGAACAGCTTCTGAGCACAGTGAGGCCCACAGTTCTTATAGGAATTAATTTCATGGTCTGTGTGTAGTACTTGTTAAAACCTGCCTTTTACATACAGAAATTCCCTGACAGCTGATTGCTTTTCAGGGAAATGTCTCTACGGTAGAAACGTGGCAGTGAAAATAGAGAGTGCTGCCGGGACTGCTGGATTAGACAGTTTTGATGATGGGTAGACACCCCTTTATTTACACTATCTCCGTGTTGGAGAGTGGGTTCAGAAAGCAGGCATGCTTAGGTTGTGTTTCTGAAGAGCTTTTCCCCCAACCTTTTTTTTTATTATTATTAATTAAACCTGCAAGAGAGATTTATCTTTTTTATTAGGTATAAAGGTGACAACAATCAAGCTTGGACTTCAGGTCAGTGCAGTGACACTAGATCTCAGTTTGATTAGACAGGCATGGAAAAATGAGAATTTTTTTTACCAGCTTTGTCAGTTGAGCATCTGGTGATGCCTAGGGGGTGAGTAGCATAGTGCATTGAAAATTAATTGAGTATCAACTTCACGTTGCTCGTTCAGAGCCCTACATACATTTATTATTCACAATGTATAGCATCATTTCAGGTGTTGGACAGGCCGCACTGAGATTACAGTGCAGAAGGCAGAACAAGGAACACATGACGGGGGTTAGGACTGCTGTCCACTGCTCCCCATCTTGTCTCAGACTTGCTTTTTAGCTCTGCACAAAGTGTTTCCTGTCCTCCATATGTAAAATTGATGCACTAAAACAGGCTCACTTTTTAGCAAATTAGCATGTCCTCAGCTTCAGTTTTGACATCTACTATTTTTTTCATTACTGAATGGAGTTCTTGGATGGATATTGTATTGTAACAACTGACTTCATTACAAATTTTGATTTTCTGCTTTCTCAAAGTAGGCCTTTCTGCCTGGCAGCAGGTTCCTATTAACTAGAATGTCTTACAGAACTATGCTCCTGCATTAAATATATCATGTTTCTATAGTCTCTCTCCTTTGGAGTTGACAACAAGCGGAAGCACGCTAATGTGCACCAGGAAAGGGCGTTGGGAATTGCTGGAGTGGTGTATGTGTTCTTACCTTTATTCCCCCCTTGGCGTTGTGGACAGGAACCTGACTTCTCCACGTCTCCTCCTTCCCCTGCAGGTATCGAGAACCTGCCGTTTGAATTGCAAAGAAACTTCCAGCTCATGCGAGACCTGGATCAGAGGACGGAAGGTAAGGATTAGAGACAAAGACAGAAAATGTGCAGCTTGACCAGCTTTTCTTTCCTTTGCCTTTATCACGGGGATCTCAGGGCAGGGAAGGAAGCCTACAGCTGCTCTGTTCCTTCAGTCTCTCTTAATGGAGGGCACTGGTGTGTGTGTGTATTTACGTATTTAATGGTTAACTCGTTTCAGACCTCAAGTCAGAGATCGATAAGTTGGCCACGGAGTATATCAGCAACGCAAGGACTTTGTCTTCGGAGGAAAAACTGGGGCTTCTCAAGCAAATCCAGGAGGCCTATGGGAAATGCAAGGAGTTTGGGGACGACAAGGTTCAGCTGGCTATGCAGACCTACGAGATGGTATGAAGGGAAGTGTCTAGTGGTTATCATATGAAAGGCTGTACTAAAGTCCCCAAGCCTGGAAGGCCCTGATCTCTCTTTTTAGGCTTCTCAGCTCTTAGTGCAAGCCCCGTGCCTTCTTCTCTTTGCCCTCTTGGGCTCTGTGCTGTGGTAACTCCTGGTCACCATCGTCTTTGCAGGTTGATAAGCACATCCGGCGGCTGGACACAGACCTCGCTCGCTTTGAAGCAGACCTGAAGGAGAAGCAGATAGAGTCGAGTGACTATGACAGTTCTTCCAGCAAGGGCAAGAAGAGTGAGTACCACCACTGGGCTGCAGATTGATACAGGAGGCAGCCAAGTGACTATGGAAGTGGTGGGGATGAAGGCAGGCACTGGAGTGGTACAGATCAAAGACTGTTACGCTGGAATCTGAAGGACAGGTAAAAAGATGGTGACCTGGGCTCTTCTTGTGTGAGCATATTCAAGGCCGCTAGATAAAATTAAGTTGGGGGTGTGTGGCCCAAAGCCAGTATGCACTCCAAAGAGTTGTAGTGCTGGAGAGGTTGTTACTATCAGGTGTCTATTTTGGTGGGGTGGCAGATGCAACACCTTTTTCTCTTCTTACCAGAGGGCCGAGCCCAAAAAGAGAAGAAAGCTGCCCGTGCTCGCTCTAAAGGAAAGAACTCTGATGAGGAGGCACCAAAAACTGCCCAAAAGAAACTGAAGCTTGTCCGCACGTAAGTGTTCAGAAGATTTGTGTGAATGAGGAGCAGCAGTAAAAATCAGACAAAGGGAGGCCTAGCCAGACTGCCCTGTGAAGGATACTCACCCAGAACAGATAGTGTGTCCCCTGTCCCTCCTTGGGAAGCAAGAGGAAGGAGACCTTTTGATTTTTTTTTTAGGGTAGTGTAGCATGATGGGGAAGGAGGACCACTTCAGTGGAGGTTGGTGTGTGTGCTTAAAAAAAGGAGAAGTGGCTGTGTCTGGCAAGCAAGGGCATAGTCTTGGGAGACGTGAGGGGACTCTTAAGCTGGTTATTTTGTTGACCTACTGTATTCCTGTCCTGCAGTAGCACAGAGTATGGGATGCCTTCAGTCACCTTTGGCAATGTGCACCCTTCGGATGTATTGGATATGCCCGTGGACCCCAATGAGCCTACTTACTGCCTCTGCCACCAGGTCTCCTATGGGGAGATGATCGGCTGTGACAACCCAGACGTAAGAGCCTGCGCCTGATGGAAGTGGAGGAGAAGGAAGCGGGGAGAGTCTTGTGTGGAAGGTCTTGTCCTGCTTGGGTGGGGCCTGATAGAGCAAGCAGTGACAAGAAGAGGGCTTACCTCAGATGGTTTGGAAGGGCAGAGGGGTGGCTTGCTAGGGCCTGTTAAGTGCATCTTTCTTTGGGGTTTGCCTTAAGATGACAGGTTGTTTTCTTGCCCCCACAGTTAGCAGGGGAGGAGAGGAGTTCTCCTTGCTAACAGTCATAGAGTCATAGAGTTGTCCAGGCCGGAAGGGACCTCCAAAGGTCATCTAGTCCGACCTCCCCGCAGTCAGCAGGGACACCCCCAACTAGACCAGGTTGCCCAGGGCCTCGTCAAGCCTCACCTTGAATATCTCCAGGGAAGGGGCCTATATTCTCCAGGGAAGGGGCCAGTGTATAGGTTGGGTGTGAGTCTTCACTCGCTGATCGCTGCTAGGGATCTGGGGGTTTGCAATCGAGTGTTGGGAAGCTTTGGTTGCCCAGAAGTAATGATTTCAAAAGAAAACTGCTCTTTAATTGACTCTTCTCCATCCCAACAGTGTTCCATTGAATGGTTTCATTTTGCCTGTGTGGGTCTGACAACAAAACCAAGAGGAAAATGGTGAGTGAACAAGCAACCTGGAGGGCCCGTTGGCCTTTGGAAAGGGGAGGTCCTGGATAGCCATAGGGAGAGTACTGTATATGCCCACTTAGAAGACCTCTTAAGAAGGAAAATTTGAATTAAGGCTTTATCTGGGACCTTGGAAAAGGTCCTTTGGGACTGTATGTTCAAGTTTCATATCATGCCATAAATAACTGTCTTTTTACTTCCCTTTCTGCCAGGTTCTGCCCTCGCTGTTCTCAGGAGAGGAAGAAGAAGTAAAATCCCGTGAGCCCTCAGTACTGCTGCAGGAGCTCTCTTCCCCCTGCCAGGGCCTCGTCCCAGCTCCCCCAGCCCTTGGGGCCTTGGCTGGGGGGAGCCTTGCCCTGTTTGTGGTTTGGGCCATCCCTGGAATGGTGTGTACCCTCACGGCGGTTTCTGTGTGTTCTGTACCCCTGGTTGCTTCCGAATCCCTAAGAGAGGCCCTCTCTCTGTACTATTCCAAACAGGTCTCTGAACCTCAAAGGGAATGAATGAGGGCACCAGGGTAGCCACCAGATTCCCAGGGATTCAGGTAGCCCCTGATTTTCCTTGGCTTTCCTTCAGCCTCCTCAGAGTTCATTGCCTTCTCTCTGCTTAGAGAACAAGGCTATGGGATGGGGGAAGGAAAGGAGGTAAGTCTTTGGCACTTTAGGCCTTTGATTTTCCTGGATCTTTTTCAGGATAGAGGGAGTAACCAGGCCACTTCTTAATCTAGTGAGCTGGTTGAGAGACTGAAAACCTAATGTACTCCCTGTCTTTAACCATTCCACTGCGGGCATTGAGCAGCCTCTCTTGTTGGGGAGAGGAGGAGGGAGTGTTTAGAGCTAGCACTGTCTCTCTTATTCCTGGGGTAAACCTGCTGGTCTGGGAAGCGCATTGTGTGAAGGAGGAAGAATTTCTGACCACATGGGGGGAAAATGGCTTGATGTAGCCTGTCTTCCGGCTCCAAAATTCTGCCTTCCTTTTGTGCAGTGGTGCTTCTCCATTATGTTGATGATGCGAAGTTTGGGGATTCAGATCCCACTTGTATAATACAGAATTAAATAAAGCTCATTGAAACAAATACTTGGTTTGCCTTGCTGTCACCTCTGAAGCCAACTGCAGCAATTGGTCCCTTTAGTTATTCTTTCTCTCTCAGCTCTGCTTTTACTCTAAATGAAGAAGGTGGTACAGCTTTTTCATGCAACAATCCTGAACACTGTTAATAAGTGACTTTTAAAAAATGTACCTAATATACTTGCCAAGGGTTACTAAGCTTTCGAGTCAGTCATTCCCTCACAAGATGGTGGAGATCTATTCACATTTTTGTTGGATCATTTACTTCATCAGTTGTCTTCTCTTAAATGAGGAGAGGTGGAGGTTATACAAGGCCAACCCTCACTGTGGCTGTTGAGCAGCGCAGCTGAGAAAATAAGCCATCAGGACAAGCCACGTGCATCCAAGAATGTCGAAAGGCTTTCCAGATAACTGATAACTTGCTCCCCAGTGGGTCACTTTCACCTTGGACCACCTTGTTGCCAGCAACTCCAGCTGCTGTTGCTAAGATAATGTTAGGCTCCAAAATCAAGGACTGAAGACACATTTCTCTTTGCAGTGTCTGCAGGTGACTGTGAGGAGATGGTACATAACTGAAGCTGCCCTTTGTCTGTTCCATTGGCACGGCCTGGAGATTGATGAGCTTGAGTCTCTTCCCACTTGTTCTCTGCTATTCAGGAGGGTTTAAGTTTTTCACCTGAAAGATGGAATATTTTTCTTACAGAGATGACTTGTATGAGGATCAGTGGAGCATTCTTGTTCTTATAGTCATGAAGCCGAAGTTCTTCTAGGGGTTCATTATTAAAACTGTTTAGAGGACTGCGTAGGTGGAGAACAAGGCTACTCTCACCTTGTAATTGTGCAGGGACCCCATCAAAGCCATCAGCTCAGAGGTTGGTGTTAAAAGTCTTCTGTTCAAGTGAGTTAGCATTGAGTCAGTCTTTGATTTTGCTTCGAGAAGGGGTTCTCAGGTTCCCATTTTGCACAGGAAAAAAATAGAGGTGAGTTCTTACCTGGACAATGTCTCACATGGTTTGTGGTACCACTGCCACAGTCTGGATCTCAGTCCCCAGATTGTCTTAAACCGTTTTCCTGGGGCTTCCCTCCTTGAACCGAGAGGAAGTAAAATCCTGAAAGATGCTGGTTGTGTGTGTGGTAGAGTCGTCAGAACAGGAGATGCTGTGCCATTGTCCGGTGGGTGAGAAGGCTTTGGCAGGAGAACAAATTTCTTCAGCTGGGGTTTTACCCAGATACCAGCTGGGTGCTCAACTAACAGAGCAAAGGGAGGATGTGCTCTGGACTTGAACACAGGCTTTGGGCAAAACACAAGGGTGACAAAGGATGCAAACACTCCTTCAAGTGGTTTGGTGTTGATGTGGTGGGGCACTGGGTTGTTAGTGGCCACCATTAGCAGCAAGCCTTCTAGGAGCTGTGGGCTAGAGAGGTGTTTGAAGTGGTGGCCCTGTGATGAAGCTGCTGCTGCTGAAGGATAACGAGTAATTTATAAATGTGTGTGGTGTAAGGTGAAAGCAGTGTGAGTGGGCAGGGGGGGTGTTGCACTCCAAACCAGGAGACAAGGTGGCCCGTTGCCTGGGTGCTGCTCACCAGGCAGGAGTAACTCCCTTCAGGGTAGCTCTGGTTTAGGAAACACAGGTGTCAGGTCTTCTGCAGTCAGTGTAGGCTGCTGAGAGGGGGGAGGTAGACCAGAATACTCCTGTTTCCAAGCTAAAGCGTGGGCACAGGGTTACAGAATCACAGGATGATATGGGGCTGGAAGGGACCTTGAGATCATCTAGTCCAACCCCCCTCCCAAAGCAGGTCCACCCAGAGCGGGTTGCACGAGAATGTGTCCAGGTGGGCTTTGAACATCTCCAGAGAAGGAGACTCCACCACCTCCCTGGGCAGCCTCTGCCAGGGCTCTGCCACCCTCAAAGTAAAGAAGTTCCTCCTCATGTCTAGATGGAACTTCCTATGTTCAAGTTTGTGCCCGTTACCATTGTGCTTCTTGGGACACTGAGAATTGGAACATCCTGGTGTTTTACTCCAAAACAGATGGGAAACACCTAGGCTGGGTTCTGATTCAGTGCCAGAGAACGGTGGGGATTGCTGGGTGGGAAATTCTGCTTAACCCCTATCCTGTCATCACCCCCCACTTCTGTCACACGAAGGGGTGCTCCAACCAGCAGCATGGAGCATTCGGTGGGTGTTGGTGGCAGCTGAGGGAGTGCTTTGAAGAATACCTACAGGAAGAAGGAATTTATAAAAAAAAATATTTGGATGAAAACTGAGAATTTTTAAACAGCTTACAAGTATAAATGCAAATGAAAGGACATTAAAAACTAACCTTGGAAGAGAGGGAATAGGGGCAGTAACTGTGCACTATGTAATCCCCGAAGGGGGGAAATAATCAAATCAATAGAAGCTAGAAATTGCGAAGTACAAAAATGAAGCCATTGGGAACAAAGCCTGTAAGCGACAAGGCTAGAAACACAAGCAGCTTTTTTTAGAATGCCTTTTGTTTTTGGTATAATTGAACATGGCACATGTCCATTACCGACTGGGGATAGCAGAATTGTTTGTAATGAGAGGAGGGGGAAGTGTTCTGTAAATATTTATCCTGTGTTGGTGCTGGTGTCAGATGGGGATGATGTACTTCCTAGGCAAACAGTGAGGAGGGTTTTTAAATAGCATCTATTGGGGGGGCGAAGGCTTTTGTGATCTGCAATCTTCGGTAAATGGTGTTTGTCGTCCTGTGAAAGCCACCCCAAGGGCATCTCTGTGGTCTGCTGGCTGCCAGGCTGCCTCTGGACAGCTAGGGAAAGCCTGCAAGGCTGGAAGGGAGCCAGCTCCGCGCTGCCTCCTTAACCATGTCCAGAAGGCTGCCGTGGCATCCCTAGATGTGAAATACTTGAAACAGCAGAGAAAGGTAAATTGCTTCTCTTTAGAACAAGCAAGAACTCTCTAGGTCAACAAAATAAAATCAATTTGTCTGGAAGTAGCCAAAAAAAAAAAGGTCAATCAAAAAATTAGTTGATTTTTTTCTTTTTTTTTTTTTTTAAGATCACCTCTGTCCCTGTAGCAGTAATAGGATCTGAAAAGTTTACTTCACCTAGAATCGAAGTGCTTAAAAAGGGGGATGCGCCAAGTTAAAGTAATCGTGAACTCCTTTAAAGAACTGCCTAGCTTGCAGATTTCCTGGAACAGCTGCCGGTGCAACATAAACACTTTCTAAAATGGAGCTGGGGAAATTGCCCTTTTAGCGTGATTGGAAATAACCAAGTTGATGAGTAAAGTCAAGTCTGAGTTTCAGGAAGCTGGAGCAGCGCAGCACGACAAGAGGGAAGAGTTTTGTCTGCCTCTTCGGGCCCATTTATTAGTAATAATTGCTCGTGCACCCAAGCGACTGGTCTGTCTTGTCCAGCTGTGATCACCCAGAGTGTGGGTATCGTTCCTACGTAGCTGGGCGAGCCTGATTGAGGAGACTGTTCAGCAAAGTATTCCCCATCCAACTGAGCCCACCAATCTCCCATCACCCAGGCTCTATCACTGCCCGTGTCCCCTGGGTGTTGTGCACAGGAACTGTCCCAGCCATGACCATCACCTTCCACCAGTGGGACCACCTTCTTCATCTGTTAGCAAACTTTAAACTAGTTCCGTGGCTTAGCAACATTTTGTCTTTCATTAAGTGCTCTTAATGTATGGTTTCCTTAATTATACACTCAGAGCCCTGCGGTGGGCAGGCTGTTACTCTCTGTCCAAAAAGTTGTAGAAGGCTTCTGTGCTTAAGCAGGCTGTTTAGGGCCCAATTAGAGAGTGTGTTTTGGTGGTATTCACTTAGATCGTCGGGGATGAATTCTTATGAAAAAATTACTGCATATAAATGTAGGTATCTTAGAAGCACAGACTGGAAAGCACCCTTGGAGGTCATCTGGTCCAGCTTCCCCTTCAAAGCAGGGCTGCTGTCGGTCCTAAATCAGGTCAGATAAATGCTGGGTAGCAAGATGCTCTGTAGCAGAACAAGCTGGGATGAGAAGCAGCAGTTGGGTGGCCCCAGGTTGAAAGCTGAGGTTGTTGAAGATCTTATGGCTTGATTCAAATGCTGGCCAAAAGAGTCCAGAGATCTCAAGTTGGCAGCGGAGAAGAAAAACATGCCCAAGAGATCACTTGCTTATACTGGCTGAAAACCAGACCAGGTCCCCCTCCCAGGATGTTCCTCACTGTAGATATGCAGGTGCACGTTGTTGGGAGGTGGTAGCTACAGGTGACAGCAGGGTTGCTCCCCTCTGATGTCTACAGAGAAATGGGCGATGCTTCCTCCAGGACCCAGAAAGTAGAGTTATGAAGAGTATCATTCACGTGGCTAAGTGAAGCTTCAGCCAAGGCACAGCAGGACATTGAGGTGATGGAGGCCAGATCACAACGCAACCATGGTGAATAGTCTTGTGCGAGCTGGCAACAGGAGGGCTGATGTTTCATTTCTCCTGGAGCAGGTCAAGGCACACCAGTCGCTTCCCAAGCACTCATTAGTAGGTCGTTAAACATGGCCTGATTATGCAAACTTCTGAGTGACCTTAGACTGAGGGGCCTCCAGGAGGCAGATCTGGCTGGTTTGACAGTTTCTGAGCCATTGTCCCTTGTACAATCAACCACGGCTCTTCTTTTTCCCTGCCACGTGAACCAGGAGGACAAAATGTGGAGATGTTGACAAGCTGAGTGGCAATACCTGGGGAGCGTGCGAACCCTGACTGCTCTAAAGCAGTGGCAGCAGGCAAGGGATACTGCAGCATTAAAAGAGTTAAAGACTAATAAAAGGAAACAAAATGTTCTATTTTTCTTTCCAAAGACAAGTCAAGGAAGTTTCTCCAACTCTATTGCCTAGTAGTTAACAGTCTCAGATGAAACATAGCTGTTTTTATCAAATAAAATGCATTTCATTTATAAAAATAGTCAAACATCTTGATTAATTTATGCTAATTTATGTTTATTATTCTGAATGCATAAAAGAAATTTAAGTCTTAGTTTAAAAAA